ATGTGGAGCTTGTCGGACCAGTCCTTAGCTTGTGTTTAGCTCCTGCCACAGTTGTGTTCATGAGATATGCACATGTGCTGCCTGTTCTCTGAGCGCTGGTACCATGCTCACAGCCAGGAAGGGCCCTCCAGCGTACCTCCACCTCCCACTCTTGTGCCTTCCAGTGCTGTAGGAAACATAAACATGGGCATCTCTGGAATCAGAAAAATCTGGAGACAGCGAACAGCATGATCGAGTGGGAAGACAGGAGGGGGCCTATGTGTGAAGGAGCCAGTGTTCGAGACCACTCTGAAGAAAGGGGTGTGGGTTTTACGAAGCACTCATGGAACTGAACCATTGATTCGGTGTACCCATCTGTAGTCGGGGTTCCCTAAGTTCTAAAGGTTGAGGGTAGATGTGGGAGGTGTGATATACACCTGTCTATGTGTCTGTGTTAGTGACTGATAATTTTCTTAAGTAAGGTTATTGGTGCTCGGCAGATCTTTACTCTCAGACACTGTTAGCTTCTTATCCATTCCCCAGGAAAACACTTACTCTGTAATCATTGAGAATTCTTTTTAAATGTCTGTTATGAGTATGTTTTTCCTGCTGCCCTGGTCCCAGCCCCAAATAACACAGAGACACTATATTAGATATAATGCTGTTGGCCAGTTATTAGTTTCTTATTGGCTAGCTCTGTCTTAAATATTAGCCCATTTCTGTTAATCTAAGAATTTCCACGCGGTCTCATCTTACCAGAGAGAGGGCCCGGACCTCTGTTCTCTCCAGTCTCTACATCTTGACTCCTCCCTACTACTTCCTCTCCCCTCGTAGTCCCGCCTCTCTTGCTTTCCTATTGGCCAACAGTGCTTTATTCATTAACCAATAAGAGAAACATTACAGAATGATATTTCCCAACAAATGTCCATTTAAAAAGTGCCTGTTTTATGTTTATATGTATATGCCTGGCTGTAGATGTGTGTGCAGGAGGAAAGAAGTGCTAGGAAAGCCCCTGGAACTTTAGTTACAAGTGGCTGTAAGTCACCATAGTGGGTGCTGAAATAGAAATCACATGCTCTTGCTCTTAACTGCTGAGGTCATCTCTCCAGGCTTCCTGTTTATTCTTAAAACAATTTTATGTCTAATGTGGCTTTGTTGTGTGAGATCAACAAGGCTCTAAGGAAGTAGCTGGTTGTGCTTGGAGCTGTTTGCTCAGGAGATAACTAGTAAGCACAGTATAGCCAAGAGGACATCTGGGAGGTGCTGAGAACTCATCCCACAGGACGGGGGCAGTGTCCTGGGATGCCACAGACGGAAAGTGGTCAGAACAGGGAAGAAAGTGCTGTGGTGAAAGCGGATAGCTGGCCCACACTTAGGGTTGGCTACTGCAGGTTAAAACGCCAAGAAATCAGAAGCATGCCATGGGGCCTACAGAGATGATTCACGGCTCAGAGCGCTTGTTGCTCTTGCAGAGGACCTAGGTTTGGTTTCCAGCATCCATAAGGTGACTCGCAGTCTGTAATTCCAGTTCAGGGGAGTCCAACAACCTCGTCTGAGGGCACCGGCACACATGGTGCACAGACCATGCATGCCGGCAAAACATGGGTTCACACACACAAGGTAAAACTAACGCTTTTAAAAAGTGGCACAGCCTGTTTTTTTTTTTTTTTTTTTTTTTTTTTTTTTTTTAAACAGTTCAGTTTAAATTAAAACCCAGAAATTGGAAGGTATCTTTTAAAATACAACCTGCTCTGTAATATTATTATTATTTAATGCTAGCTCTTTACGCATGAAGGTTGTCCTTTGTGTGACAGTGGTAAACACTGCAGAGTAGGAAATCCGGAAAGGGGAGTAACAAAGACCCAGTGTAGGTGGTAAAAATTATTAAGTGAAACCTATGAACCCATGGAGAGAAAATAAGCTGGAAGAAGTCATCTACCTTAAATCACAAGCAGGCCCAGCACTTGGACATTAGACACAAGAGGGTTGGGAGTTTGAGGCCAGCCTGGGCTACATGGTGATGAGGTCAGATAAGCAACGGTAACTGTAGAATATCATGTAGAAAAACACATGAGCATGGTTTGCATACAAGTGATGGGACCAGAGCTGTAGTTTGTGCTGGGTGGTAAGGGTGCTTGCACAGCATCCATGAGGCCCTAGGATTGCCCTCCACAACAATGGGGGGATGGGGGGTGGACACAGGAAAGTAAAGACATATTACCTGTCACCCTCAGGTGAATGAAATTGGAGGATTTTGCAAGACTGTGGGAGAAGGTTCTCCTTGCCTTTTAGCACTGAGGATGTGGCTGAAATATGTGTGGTAAAGGCTGCTCAGGTCCCCTGTCACAGCACAAGGACACAATTCAGAGGCTTCCACCAGCCAAAATGGTACTGTGAGCATTGTCAGGACACCCACTGGGTGTAATACGCGGGCTCATTGTCTGCCTTGAGGCGCTCTGGAGCCAGCTCATCAGGGTGTGGATCAGACATTGCTCTTAACCTGCACAAACAAAATTACAGATGATCACAATACATGGCAAAATTAAGAACTTCAGATTAATACCCATGAAGGGAGGATGTGGTTGTATGAAAGGATGTAGAGCATTTTCTTATTTAGTGATTGACAAGGGAGAGCTCAGCCTGTTGAGGGTGGTGCCATCCATAGGCTGGTGGGCCTGGGCTTATCAGCAAGCAGGCTAGGTAAGCAGCATCCCTGAATGGCCTCTAGCTTCTGCCTCCTGGTTCCTGTCCTGTTGGATTTCCTATCCTGACTTCCCTTTGATGATGAACACTGCCGTGAAAGAGTAACCCTTTCCTCCCCAAAGCTGCTTTTGGTCATGATGTTTCTCACAGCACTAGCAACCTTGGCTAAAACAGACCTTGCCTAAAAAATAAGGCAGAAGGAGAGAACTGACTGAGGAGCCCTGTGTATACAGCGTTTGTCTGAAAATAGGGAACACGGAGGTACAAGATTTTCTGTCAGTTGATAACTTTGGGGGGGGGGCTCACTGTATTATTTTTGTTTCCCTGCATGATTATGGAAATTATTTTAAAGATCTAAAGTGTGTACTTGGGGACCTAGAAATATGCTCCTAGATAGTTGATGGCTTATAGAAATCCCGATAGAAGGTATCTATGGCAAACAGCGGTGAAGGGTTTCGTTCCAAAATACAGGTATGCAGCAAGCAGGGTGTGCAGGTAAGTTTACTAACTTACTCCTCTGCAGAAGTAAATCTATCTAAACCAAGTCAGTGTGACTGAAAAACTAAAGAAGGGGTGGGGTGGCAGTGTAGGGACAAGGAAAGGAAACAGAGATAAATTGATAAGCCATGAGCGACATCTCCCATCACATTGTGCAGTCTGACATGGCTCAGGTCATCCTGAAAGTTGGCCCTGTGAGACAGTGATCTGGTTTTCCTATTTCCAGTGTTCTCGGTTCTGTATCGACATTCTGCTGACGTCTTAGAAGACGTAGGTAGTTGAGGGAGAGAAGGTTGGGCTCATGTTTCATGCTTTATCCTAATAGCTAGAGTGTCTCCCTTGGTGGATGATTTATTCAGCTGTTCTTCGGGCTTGTCTGTTGATTTTGTTGTGTTCTGTGATGTTAGATTACTTTTCTTGCGGCTTTGACTAGTACCTGAAGGAAGGGTTCCCTGGCTCCGTTCATCATGGTCGGGATGCTGCTGGAGAGGGTGGCTACAGGGGTGTGAGGCTGCTTCTCTCCTACAAGCCTTCCCCCCCCCTTCAGTCTGAGTGCCCAGCTTCTGAGTTGAAGCCACCCATGTTTTAGTTCCTCCCTTGTTTAGCTGAGCCTGTGTGGAAGCGGCCTCACAGATAGCCCCAAGGGCATGTCTTCTAGGTTATTCCAAGACCCATGGACTTGACAGGTGACACTTAACTACCACAGGGATTGAACCCTGGGCCTTTCAGTTAATGCCCTTTCAGCTAGCCCCACAACCCAGGAAGGTTTCTAACTGGACAGTGGGAAGGTGTGGTTTGCTCAAGGAGGAGAGTGAGACACGCAAGGAGCTTGCCTTGAGGCTAGTAGCTCGAGTGATTTACGTTTTGCTGTCTTTTTAATGTGCTTGCAAAGCATCAGGCATCCTGGCCCTGTTGTTGAGAAGGGTTTCTTGTTATACTCTTGAAGAGATGCTATAAGATTGGTAAAAGATGGCTAAGGCAAGAGGCTTGGCTGGTAAAGGCATTGCCGTTGAGCCTGGTGAGCTGAGTTTGATCCCTGGGAGCCACATCGTGGAAGAGAGAACAGACTTTTGCAAGTTGTCTTCCAATCTCCACAGGTCCACAGTGGCACACACAGAGATAAGTATGTAAACAAATAAAAAGACTTCTACTGGTCCATAAACCAGTCCAAATGGATTATATGGGTTCAATAACCAAAAAAAAAAAAAAGGCTTTTCTGGCGGTATGCCCAAGTTACGGTCATGAGACCCACTTGCTCCCAGGCTCCTTGGAAGGGACACGCTGGGTCCCTGCACGTTTGCTTTGTGCAGACGCGTTAGTCGTCAAGGGTTGTTGGTTGAGTTCTCTTCACAACGTGGTCTTTGGGCTGTTGATTAAGTTTCTGTCCTTTGTTTTCTAATGTTTGTGGTGCATGCCCACACGTGCTGTTCTGTATGAAGCCAGGGGTCAGCTTCTTGTCATCGATTCTCTTTCCATCTCATTTTTGAGACAGTCTCTCCCTGTGTTCTCCCAACCCACTGGGAGATTCCTAGAGATCCTCCTGCCTCTGCCTCCTGTCTCACAACAGGAGTGATGGGATTACAGCTGTGTGCCTTTCCATCCTGCTCTCCGTGTGGCAGATACCTTTGTCTGCCACTTTGGCATGTGCTTTGTATGCAGGTTCCGTTTGCCTTAGGGCTTCCATAAGTTGTGAAGGCAGCGTGAGTCAAGGCCGTCCCACGCGTGCTGTGGCATCTGAGGATGTCAGCAGACCGTGTGTGCTCTTGCATACCTAAGTATCCTTTGTTAGTTTCTCAGAACACATCTCTGCTTCATTTCAGCCATGAACCAGAGAATCACACAGAGTGCTCCAGTGAAGCAGCCGCCACCCTTGGCTCCCCAGAGCCCACAGGGAGGCGTCCTGGGTGGCGGCAACTCCAGCCAGCAGCAGCAGATGCAACTGCAGCAGCTGCAGATGGAGAAGGAGAGACTGCGGTTGAAACAGCAAGAGTTGCTGCGGCAGGTGAGGCCACAGGTTAGAGTTGGCTTGCTCTTTGTCTTTGCATGCTCACACAGAGCTTTGGTCACGGGAGTGCTGGGGAGGCCAGCTCCGCCTGGCCTTTTCCACTTCCTTGTAACTCTTGGTCATACATCATGAACAGCTGTGTTAGCCAGAGTGGTGGCGCAAGCCTCTCACCTAGCACTTGGAAGGACCATGCAAAAAGATCAGGAGTTCAAGACCAGCCTCAGCTACATAGTAATTTGAAAGCCAGCCTGAGCTTCATGAGACCCTGTCTCAAAGCAAACAAAAAAGTATGTGTTTGGGCCATAGTCACTGCAGTTGAACAGAAATCAAAGGAAGTCGAGATGCTTCTCACAGGCTGACCTGTGGTTCCGAGAGCTTCACAAGTAGATGAACTCCGCACCGTCTCCGGAGAAAACATCTACCTTAAATGAATTCTCTGTAGAGAGTATACCAGTGTGTTGAGTGTTTCAGTATTGGTAAAGCAAAGAATTTCAGACAGAATACAACTACCCCAAGTTTAGATGCCACGTGTCTTTGGTGTGTGTCTTCATGCTGAGGGGCAGGAGGATCTGGCAGCGGGGATCTTGAGACCCTTCCCTTTCACGACACACTGTTGGTCTTCAGGCTGAGTGAGAAGAAATTTTATTAAAACACATTGGGACTGAGGTGTAGTCCAGTGAAAGAGCATTTGCCTAGCATGTCTGAGTCTCTGGGTTCCCCAAGTCCTGAGCCCCACCCAACCATTTTGTTTTATTTTGTTTTATCTTTTTTCAAGTATTTAAGATAGCGTTGATAGTGGGGAATTGGTCTTTGGTTAAGCAGTACATCATTTTAAAGTTTGTATACGAAACCCTTGAATAGACAGTAACAGCACAGCAGTCAAGAGTGTACAAAAGGAGAGCACTTGGAAATAAAATCTCCTTTGCCCAGATTCTCTAGTTTTCTTCTGCTTATAAAATAACCAAGTTTCTTGTTTATCCTCGGCCCCTGTCCCCAGGATATTTACAAACATAAAATAGTTTCTGTTCTTTCCAGTTGCCTTTCCCAAATCATAGCTACTGTGCATATTTAAAATCAGTTTTATATTACATTTCTGTACATTAAGTTGAGCAGTGGAATCCCAGGCAGAGTCATCCTAAAACTGTTGGTGCTCACTTATAGTGTGTCCCCATGATCCAGGTATGGTTTGCACAGCTTGTGCCATTGGATGATGGGGGGAATGTACTTGAAAACCCATCTATAAAAGATGCGTCCTAATGAGGGGCTCCCCTCTCCCCGCCTGTGAGAGAAAGGTGTTTTCTAGTTCTATAAAAGACTGAGAACAAGAGAGCATAGCAAGGATTTCGGTGTGTGGCTATTAGAAGAAACAAAAAATGAAGCCTAGTTTGCTGTCTTTATTCTTTTGTGACCAGATACTAATGGGTCAAAGTAAATGCAAGTCTCAATTTCACATGCATGTGGGCTACCAAAAGTCAAGAAACTTTCATAATGAGATTTATAATGCCAATGTCTTCTCACTTTTTTCCTTCATTTTTAAAGTCAAGAAATGTACCGTTGTCACTTTTTGTGTGTTAATCGATTAGCCTGGTTTTCTTGGTGGACCAATTCTGCTACTCGTATTATTATTCTAAAGAATTTTTCGAACTGTTCTCGGGTGGTGGGTCCTGGACAGAATGGCTCCCTTCTTTAGAGGTGACCTGCTTCTTTTCTCTGCTACCTACTATTGCCTCTTGTGAAGGGATGGTCTCCTCTGTTCTGACGCTAATGGACTGTTTTGTGAGGGCATCCTAAGACCTCTGGCTTCTTGTGAGCTTCTTCCATCCACAGCTGTGTTTCATCACTGGAACACTGAAAGTCATTTCTTCCCGCTTCATCTAACACAGAAGCAAAGAGCCTACCTGACTGTTACTAAATTTGCCTTTGTCTTGACATCAAGTCTTGCTGTCTGTCCTCAGTGCTGCTAGACTGTGAGGGGCAGTCTTTTCCGTGGTGATTCACTGGCTCCTGTTCTTAGCCCGCTGTTTCTTGGGTAGCTTGGGAATTTTGTGCTATGGTGAGATTTCTCAATACAGTTTATAAGTCAGCCTACACAGCCAACCCATGTGGCTTAAAGTAATTTTTATCCGTCTTATTTTTCACTCTTAGGCAATACGGAATATCAATCCCAGCACAGCAAATGCTCCAAAATGTCAGGTAGGCTCTTATATGATGTTTTAGCATTGGGGAAAAGATAACTAAACTAGGAAAGAGAGACACCTTGTTCCTGGCCCTGTCCTCACTGGAGATAAGCCAGAGTGGATATGTGTGAGTCATCTTTCTCCCAGAACACTTAGCATTGCTTTTCCAAGGGACTGAGGACAGAGGACTGTCTACCCATGCTGGTCTTTCTCGTGTGTGTGTGTGTGTGTGTGTGTGTGTGTGTGTGTGTGTGTGTGTGTGTGTCAGGGTGTGTGTGTGTGTCAGGGTGCATGTGAGTGAGTGTGTCAGGGTACGTGTGTGTGGTTTTGAGAGTGTCAGGACTTCCTAGTTCACACACAGTGTGTCTCAGTAATCATTCTGCCAGCCTCTAAAAGTGTATTTTTGTTTGAGCAGCTTAAAGTAATTTTTTGTCTTTTTTTTTTTTTTCATTTTCCTAGAAGCATCAGTAAATTGAGCTATAGCAGGGACAGCAGTTAGTTCATATATTTGCAGGCCGATTTGGGGAATCACAATGAATAAAAGTTGTTCTCAGTGGCCCTTCTAAGGGGAGGGCATTGTAAATGTCAAGGCTTGGGAAATCAAACTCTGCCCAGTTGGTGTTCCAGGCCTCTCTCTTTCTCCGTGATGAGCTCCTGGGCACACTGGTCACAGAAACATGGCTGCTCTATACCTGACAGGTGCTGCATTCCAGAAACCGAAGTGGATCCTATGTGTTTCTGCTCTATAATACTCAAAGTAATTAGGAGCTAGAGGGTGCGTGTGCCTCTTGAGCAGAAGCAGCCATGGAGCATGCTCCCTTCCTCTGTTCCCTGCCCCGCCCCTCCTCACCTCTTCCTTTCAGGGAATCATTGGATTCTAACTTGGGCTGACTTCAGGGTTTTCAGGCTGTCCTGCCTCAGCCTCTGCAGTGCTAGGATTGCTGTCTGACCCACAGCCAAACCTTAGGATCTTTGGAGCTCCTCTGGGCCCCAAGCACAGGGAATTGGCTGTAGAGGCAGGGACTACCAGAATGATACTCTGCTGGGGGAGTCTTTTTTATGTCAGATCAGATACCATCCTTAGAGACCAAGTGACTTTGTAAGAAAATAAACTTTCTTTTTTTTCAAATTTTGAGTCAGACTGGCCTTGAACTCAGAGAAAAGATGTTCACCACCACACCCGACCTGGACTCTGTTCTCTTTATCTCATAAATGCCTTCATTTAACCAGAACCCAAGTAAGGGAGTGAAAAAACCAGCAGAGTAGAGCAGCCGCATCTGGCTTGACACAGCATAGTGCTAGATCTTACAAACTGAAGACAGCTTTGTCTCCTGTGATTCTCTGAAGCAGTGGCCTCTGTCAGCGACTCCCAAGGGCCAGGGTTAACTCCTAAGATTGGCATCCAGATCATACGAAGTCCTGTAAGTCAGAAATAGATGCTGAAACTCTGGGAAATCAGTGCTAGGGGCAGAGCTCAGTGTCCACATACACTCAGAAGGTGGGGTATGCCCGACAAAACCTTAAGGTGTTAACACTGGAGCTGGTGCTTCAAATTTGTCTGACTGAGATTTAAAATACTGGAGAGATGATTTTTGAAAATGCCACTCCACATGCTAAAGATTTAAAATAAAGTTTTCTGTGGGCATGATTGTATAGATCTATGGTCCCTGTACTTAGGAGGTGAAGACAGGGCCTACCTTGGCTACATATCGAGTTTGAGACCAGCCTGGACTTACTAAGACCCTTTCTGAAAACAAGCAGTTGTTTGCTTACATATGTTTTATTAGTTGCCAGCATACTGATGGTTGTGAAGCTGTCAGTTGGTGTATTTGACCACAGTGGTAGAGTGTGTGGGATTGGGGGGTTTCTCTTTTTTCCTACATATTTTCTCCATGACCTTAAGACAACATAGAGGAAAGAGATTATCATAAGGGATGTAGCTGTTACTTGTCTAATGAGGGAAGCACAGCCTGTTTATTTAGCCGGTGTTCTGTGTGACCAGAGGGCCTTCAGAAACGATAGCCCAAAGATCCAGGGAAAGGAGTTTGATACTGCAGTTCAGTGAGCAGTAAAAAGAATGTAAGACCCAGTGCTGGGAAACCTCTAGAGGAAAGGCAGCAGACCCGACGGTTCCGGTCCAGCTGGCCTCGGGTCACGACGCTTCTGGAGTGGGGTCTCATACCCTTCAGTGGGGCTTAGAAACCCCTTTCCGTGAAGAGTAAGGGCTGGGGTAACGTTTCTGGACTTTGGTCTGCTTTGTAGGAGGAGTTTCTGTTTGCCCTGACTCTTGTTGGAGAAAAGAAATTCTCAGTGTAGCCTGCCTTTGGGATGAGACTGGTGGGAAGCGGTATGGCTTCTGAGGGCTTGGGGCCCTTCCTCTGTCCTCTGTTTCAGAGTCCCCGGCTTGCCAAACAATGCAATGGCACCAAGCAAGATTTTGCTTTGGATTTGAGGGTGCTTGTTTTGTTTTTCCAGGGTTTCCCTATCGCCCTGGCTGTCCTAGAACTCTGTAGACAGGGCCTCCAGAGATCTCTCTGCCTCTGCCTCCCACGAGCTGAGGTTAAGGTGTGCCACACCTGGCAGGGAAGATCTTAATGGAGGTGGCTTCCCAGGAGAGGTACAAGAGAGCCAGTCTATGAGGACATGGCAAAGGAAAGCTCCAGACTTCACACTTGGCCCTCACTACTTTGCTTGACTTTATACAGAAGTCATCTATCTCTGTGAACAAAGAAAAGTAGATGTGGCTCCTTCCTTCATAGTTGATCTCACACACGCATGCGCGCGTGTACACACACACACACACACACACACACACCACACACAGAGCAGGCACTACACTCCAGAAAGAGGGTATTTACTATGTAGGTCTGGCTGTCTTAGAACTTCCTGTTTTGACCAGGCTGGCCTTGAACTCCTAGAAAATCTTCAGGATTCTGTCTTCTGTGTATGGAATTACAAGTGTGTACCACCACTGTGAGCATTTTTAATAAATGACTGAAATCAAAACTTTGTAGTACTTTTGACGAGGTTAATCATGTCTGTATTGATTCTGTGGCGTTTGTACTTCTGACCCTGTGGGTTAATGAAAACCCTCAAGGCATGTAGTGTGAATCATATTGAAAGAAGACTTTCAAGGCATTTTTAGATCTTCAGTGATTAAATATGGGACTTGTCATTATAATTTATTACAGTGTGTGTACAGGATTCAGGGAAATTGTCCTTAAATAGAGGCTAAGTTTTCGTTTCCCCGATCCAAAAGAAACGGTGCTCAGTAGCCTCTGTCTCTGCTTTGCGTGTGAGATGCACAGCCACATGCTCTTGCAGGTCTCACACGGCGGCGCTGCTTCATAATTGCAGAGCCCTCCCCCGTGACACTCTGGCTGTGTCACAAGGTCTTGAGGGAGACACACTGTGAGGAATGCCATCTTCTGGGTACACTCTGCCCTCCCTCCCTGCTGAAAATGTGGCTCTGGTCGTCTGGAGTCCTCCCCCTGCCGGGCTCCCGGGCTCATGGTGTATGGTCAGCAGTCTCTGCATTTGCTCAGTGTTTCTTCATCAGGAAGACCCTTGCTCTGTTCCCCTTCTCTCCTACCAGTTAAAGCTGTTTCCTCTAAGGCCAAGTCTCACTCATCGGAATAGTTGAAATCACCAGAAATAAGACAATCATATAAAATTGTCTTACCTCAGCAATCAGTGGTCAAAAGTTAATCTCAGTATTCATAGAAATGACCTTGTCAGTTTTTGTGACTGAATTACAGTTCCTCTTGTTGCCTTGGAAGCTCTTACTGTGAGTACTGGTGCTGGAGACACTGGCTAGCTACACTAACACTTGAACACTTGGTAGAAAAAGGCTCAGCTGCCCCAAGTTCTTATACGCAGCAGAGTCTCCCCACTGTCGGAAACATGTGAAAACAATTGCCAAAGACATTTCTTCCCTGTGAGTTTAGTAATAGCAAAGAATTTGGCTTTTCCCCAACCCGAAACTGTCTTTCAAGTTAGCAGACAAATCCTTTTAACACTTTTTCCAACATTATCTCTCTTCTCTTAAACATCCTACTTTTTCATAAATCCTAGATTTATTTGACTGGTTTCTCAATGTTTTTTTTTTTTTTTTTTTTTTTTGGTGGGAATGTTAAATTTCATGTAAAAATGGAAGGGGAAACTGAGCTTAGAGGTATATGCTCATGCTTGTAGAAAGTAGAGACAAGCAGATTATTGCAAATTCAAGGCCAGCCTGGTCTACATAATGAGTCCCAAGCCTTCCAGGGCTACATGGTGAGACAAGGGTGTTGAAGATTAGCCAGAATCACCTCCCACACACCATTAATAGTTTACTTTGTTCGTTTTTATTAACTAAAATCTCCTAAGGGAGTGAAGCCATAGAGTGCTTTCTGTTTTTCCTTTTTTGCTTTGAGCCCCAAGTTACAAAAGACCGATGGTCAGACACAGTTTTGAATCTGAGTGTGGTCCCAAGCACTGCACTGCAGTTGACTGTCATTTGCCTGCCAGAGCTGAGGCGTGTACTGGCCTCACGATGGTCCCAAGCATGCGTCATACGTATGTCAGTCAGAGTGTTTTGGGTTTAAAAAATAATTTGGTAGATGGCACAGACTTTAAGAAAGGGGGCTGGAAGGTCGTCCCCTGGCAGGGCACTTGCCTATCATATCTTGACCTAAATTCAGTCCCTAACCCTAATGAATAAACGTGATGTAAGCTAAATCTGCTGGAGACCACGCAGCCTTGGCTACTGAGGTGCTAGGAGAATCTCAGGTTCAAAACAGACCCCATCAGGGTTAAGGAGTTGGGGCCACAGTTCATTGGTAGAGTGAATTGCCTGTCGTGCATGACTCCCAGGGTTCAGTCTTCGGTACTAGGAGGCAAAACCCCTCTTCTCTTGCTTCGTGGGCCTGGGGATTGGACCCAAGACCTTGTACGTGATAGCCAAAAGCTGTACCACGAGGCTGCATTCCCTGGCCCAACTTACTGTTTTATTTTAGAAGTAATAGAGAATTCTGT